GAGGCGCCCGACTGCAGAGATATCACTGCCAGACTGCAGCACGTCAAAGTGGGAGACTGTACATCCCAAGAGAAGGTGGACATTCACTATTGTGAGGTAAGGCTTCCGGCTTCACCTGGGCCCAGGCGTAAATGTGGACACCACACTGATGACGTCCGAGGATGATCTGGGGAAGTCACAAGGCAGGGAGGGAAGCAGTGTTAAAAAGAAGTGTTTGAAGATGGGCGTGGTGGTGCACGCCTGTAATTCCAGCACTTGGGAGGCTGAGGCAGGAGGATTGCTGTGAGTTTGAGACCAGCCTGGGCTACATAGTCAGTTCCAGGTCAATCTCAACTACATAGTGAGACCCTGTCTCAAAAAAAAAAAAAAAGAAGTGTTTGACTAGGGAAAAAGGAGCTTTTAACTCTAACTCTGAGGAAAGACCAACTAAGCCCTTCCAAGAGAGCGGAGAATATGCGGGGAAGATGGGCTCCATTTCCTGAAGATCAGCCTCCTGTGGGGAGCGGGTGTGCAGAATGCTAGGCCGGAGGGGACCCCAGGCTTTCCTGTGGGAGCTGCCTGGCTCTGCTGGGTGTCTCTGGGGCCCAGCAGGGAGCACGCAGGGTGCACGTGGCTCCTCCGGCCTGGCCACACCCTCTCTCTGTGCTGCACCACAGGGCAAATGCACCAGCAAAGCTGTGTACTCCATCGACACCGAGGACGTGGAGCCCCAGTGCGCCTGCTGCTCGCCCACGCACACTGAGCCCCTGTGGGTGTCCCTGCTCTGCGCCAACGGCTCGGTGGTGCACCACCAGGTCCTCAATGCCATGCAGTGCCGCTGCAGCCCCCAGAAGTGTGGCCAGTGAGGCCAGGCCCACCAGCGCCCGATGCGCCTTGCCCCTCACATGCCCTGCTCCTCATGCCCACAATAAAGGCCACTGTCTCGCCTGTGAAAGGCTGCTGGTATTTTGAGGCAGCTGCTGTAGGCAAGGGCTGAGCTCCTAGACTGATCTGGGACTACGAGAGGGCCCCCCCCCCAGCTCCCGGGAGCTGGGAGATCCCTGGAGGGTCTGGGGAGGGGCAGAGCTGAGAGGGGAAGATGGTGTGTGGGGGGGTAAAGGGCACCGAGGGTGGAGGAGGGCATAGCATGGAGCCCAGAGGGTCTCTTCAGAAGCTCAGCCTAGAGGCCTGCAGTGACAGGGATTTGCTGAGGGGCCCGGAGTTCTCCAGCGTCCCACTGGAGGAGTTTCTGTGGACAGTGGAGGGGAGCCCTCTAGCCAGGCACCCGCCACATGGGTAAGATTGTCTGACCGAGTCCCTGCTTCCTTGGTGGCCCTGTGGAGGGAGAGGTGTGAGGGCCGGGGGCACCCGGAGGTGGGGCTGCCCCTGGCCTGGCTCAGCCACTCAGCTCAGAAAGCCTCTTACTGGTTGTGGACTTGGTTACCTCGTCTGGAAAATCGGAATGGCTGTTTGACTCATGGGTTGTAGATACAAACAACGTGTGTCTAAAATTGTTACCTGAAAGGCCTTCGGTAAATGTACATTGTGTTAATGTAAGAACGAGAATAAAAAAGGAGCAAGCAAGTCTGAAAGGCAGGGACATGTGACTCAGCCCTGTCAGTGGCTGCCTCAGATTTCCTGCATTCTGAAGGCCAAAAATGCCGGTTGGGGCAAGGGGGTTCATGCTAGACCCCAAGGCCCTGATACTTGAGGTACCCTTCAGTAGGGACAGGTGTAGGGGATACACAATGTTGCCTTGTCCCCAAATCACCGATCGCAACCACTAGCCTCGGCTAGAGATGGTCCTTCCTGAAAATGTATGAAAAAGTTTACATTACACCACGTCTCCTTTGGGAGAGAGCACTGCGAGAATGAAGGGGACGCCCTGGACATACGGCAGGACATTCCCGGACGGAGAATGACTTCCATTCTAAACCCTGTAACACAGGAGAGACTCAGTCATTGAAAGGACCGAGGAAGCCAGGCCGGATTGAGGTACCACCGATCCACTTTTCTTGGCCACCTGCACAGCTGAGGAGAGGCCCTCGCAGGCCGCGGGTGACTCATCAAAGATCACACAGCTGCGGAGGGGCAGGGCCAGGTTCAGAATTCAGGTGCCTTGAATCCAGGCAAGAATCCCAGTCACCCTGCCAGAGCCATGCGATCCCAGTTGCCCCCGGATTCTCTCCTTGCTGTCACGGAAGCAGTAACCACGGAGTCTCCAGCTTTCTGTGCCACTGTTACTGCCTGGGACTAAACCCGAAGGGGCAACGGAACAGGGAAATGGCTTAGATGGTGCTCAGGAGGCTTGGAGGGGAGTTTAGTGGGTTGGGGAAGGAAGAATGGACACAAGTCGTATGTAACTGCTCACTAATTCAAAGGTCCTCTCTCCATCCACCTGCCCCCTCCCAACTTGTAGGTCTCTCAGGGAGACCAGATCCAGCCACAGGAGCTGGTTGTCACCCTGCTGCCCGATCGCCTGACTCCGCCTGGGGATGGGGTGATTGGAGGCATCTGCCGCAGAGAGGCTTGGCAGGGAGGCTGCCTCTCCCTTACAGTTGTCGCTTTTCCCAAGGCTCTCATGGCCGGAAGGTCTCCTCGTAGCTACTGACGTGACCTTTCAGGCTCAAGGACAAAGCTGAGTCAGGAAGACTGCATACAGGATTGAAAATGAGATGGGTGGGCACTGGATTAAAAGGTGCAGAAGGAGAAGCAGGTGGAGGTAGCGTGTGTGTGAGAGTGTTTTCCTCTACTTACAGGTATTCTGAGAGCAGGGTCCCCCCGTCATGCTCACCCGTATCCCACATGAGACAGGGTCCCCAAAAGTGAGTGTTCGGGGATCCTTGGAAAAGGTCTGGCAGAGAGGGGAAGGGAATGGATGAAGGCACTCCAGTGGGGAATTCCCTATTCCTTAGGGACTGAAAAGGTGTGGGGAGGGATCGAGAGGAAGGCATTGTGGAGGAGAGGGATTGGCAGTGTGTGGTGTTGTGAGCAGATGCAGGGCCCTGGGACACCCCTCAGGGAGGGGCTTCGTCTTCGACACTATGTCTGTAGAAGGGGGGCGCTGTAGTGATCAGCCCAGAGTTATCAGGGTCAGAACAGCTGTCCAGGGAGAGCACTGAACAAGGTGCCTGAAGATGGAGCCTTGTGTGACATTGGCCATGGTTTGGGACAGCACACTCTGGCTACCTGTTTGGGCATCTACTCCTCCCTCCTCTGCCAAGGGCACATTCCTGGGCCATCGCCGGAGGATGACCCTCCTCTTGTCCCCCGGGGAGGAAGGAGCTTCCTAGTCTCCCTTGGACTGTCCTTAGCCCATCCTAGCTCTCCTGGGAAACCTGTAACCCCACCCTGCCTCTTACGCCCAGTCCCTACCCTGCGTGCTCCCTGTGTACACCTATCTCTGGCTCCTTTCCTGGCTGCCAGGCAGAGTGAAGACAGGCGGGTCGGGCCCACTGCCCAGGTGCAGCCCAGCCCCTGATCTCGACCGGGCCACCTCTTGGACACTGGGTGACCCTCCGGGCCACAGGAAAGAGGCTTTGTTGGCAGGATTGGAAATTAATCAGCCAGATGGTTCAGGAGATAATCTGGCTGAATTTTCACAAGTGAAGTAGGTTGGGAGGAGCCGCGGAGAGGAGAGGAGAGGAGAGGACAGGAGGAGAGGCGGTGGCAGCCTGCACCCCAGCACCCAGCATCCTGAATCTTCCTCAGCTCCACCGAGCTCAGGTGCAGCCCCATGCTTCCTGCTCCATGCTGGCTGTGCGCTGTGTGCACACCAGGATGCAGCAGGAAGGTGAGGGTTCCTCAGAGGGAGCAAGCCAGGCCTGGGAGGGTGGAGGGGGAGGAGGCTGCAGGCAAGGGGCCGGTACCTGAGCCGAGCTAAGCCGGGATGGAATTAGCTGTGCTCCCTCGCAGATAAGCCTGCCCAGAAGCCTGCAGGGCCTGGCGCCGGGTCTGTGCCTGAGCCCGCACCATGGCCACCCCTGGGCTGTGTGGTGAGTGTCCCCGTGGGGCGAGCTGCAGGACACTCTAACACCTGTCCTGGGCGCTGCAACCCCGAGTAAACCTGGACGGGATGACCGTGAGGCCAAATGATCCTGGGACTGTAGTTGCTGCTGTTGTTATTATTATTAATCAAGGAGGAGAAGTAGCAGAGAAGTAGCAGCCTGCCAAGGACAGTGTCCCCACAGGACCTCCAAGGCCCCCTCAGCCCTGTCACCAGCGGCCCTGACCTCAGTCATTTTACCTGGAGCGAAGGAGACAGGTCTGCCCTTCCCAGGGGGCGGCTCATAGAAAAGCAGGTGGGAGTTGAGTTTTGGTGGGTAAGATGTTATTCTGCTGCACCCCGCACTGTGCTGTGTGAACAGCTGCATTGGGGCAGGGTCGGCCTGGACTGTAACGGGTTCTGCCAGGAAGTGCAGGGAGGTGGGAAGTGGCCGGGGCCTACTCCTTTGGCCTAGACAGCAAACAGAAGGGACTGGAAGGTTGGTGTCGGTGACAGTCCTGCTGCTCTGGGAGCAGCTGTGATGCTCTCACAGCTGTGTGGACCTGGGCCCAGGCCAGGAGGCTCTGATGAGCTGGGTCAGCTCTCAGGCCAGAGGTAAGGGCCAGGGGCAGGAGGGTCTCAGACAGGGTGGGGCTCTGTCCTGGGCCCTGTGATACACTTGGGGAGCTGTGGCCCTCTTGAGGTCCTTTGCAGCTACAACTGCTGCTGCCTGAATCACCCCCTTGTGCCCTGAGGCCTTTCTGTTGTCTGGATTGTAGAGTGTGAGGGGTGGGTTCCAGGTAGGTTCTAGTCCAGTTTCTGTGGGAGCCTTTTCTCTGTCTTCCATCACTGGATAAGTTATAGGGCAGGAGGCATTTGGGGGCTAACGTAGAGCATGACTGTCTGCTAAAAAATAAAGACCTGATCTTCTGGACACCTAACCATCCTGGGGCTGAGAAGCTCGTCCTACCCTTGGGATGACTGCTCGAGAGCACACGGAAACAGACTGCTGGGCACGGGTTCTTGCTTCCAGCCCAGAATAGAGCCCACCTCTCCTTGCTGATCGCTGGGAGTCCAGGACCGGGGGAACTGTGGACACAGGCCGTGTGCTTGCTGCAGCCACATGTGTACTAAAACTGCCCTGAGTGCGAGATTAAGCCCTGTGCGCTTCTGGAGGATGGTGCTGCAGAGAAAGTGGTGGTGGAGAGCCCCAGGGGTGCAAGGGTGTGGGCTGCCCAAGGAGCAGTAGGGGAGCCAGGCAGCGGGAGCAGAGCGCTGAGTGTGAGTCAGACCGTGCTTGGTTCTGTGGCTCAGGCCTCATGTTCTTGGCATTCGAAGGGGAGGGGAAGAGTGTTCTTCATCAGTGGTCCACTATGTACTGGACACTGCTAGCAGTGACTTTGGGGGGTCAGGATTAAGCACATTTCATAGATGAGAAAACAGTCCAAGAGACTAAGAAATATGTATGCTACAATGTGATTGCCACTGAATTGTTACTGAAAGATGAAGCCAGAATTCAAGCTTAGATCTGAGCCAGGACCTCATCTCCTCCCCACCAGCAAACCTCGTTGCTTTTGGTGTATTTCCAGGAAGTGTAGAATGAAGTGTGTGGGTGGATCGGCGGCTCTGAGGGAGGTGTTCATTTGCAGGGCTGTTAGTTAAATGCTGTGGTCACCCTCAGGGTCGGCCCGTACCGTGACTCTGTTCCTGACTTGTAGCCATCGTGTCTGGTTTTCACAGGGATACTGAGCCCAGCAGGCTTGGGAACACATTACACCACAAAGCCAACACCAGTGATAGTTGCTGTAATTGAGCAGAAACTTATTTATGAACTTCTGACAGCCAGGTCAGAAGAGAAATAATAAGGGACACATCATTGTCTAGCTTTTGAAAGGAGACTAATTGATCAGTGTGAACTTTAAGACGATGCTATAGTGATATTTAAATGGCTTTGCTCAACATGATGAGGTTAGGGTTTATTAATAGGATTTGAAAGAGTTTTATCTATGAGTATTGATTATTTGTTCTTTATTTTAAAAAACGAGATTTCTGTTTTATCTGTTTTGGTCCATGCTGCCCTTTTACATTTTTTAAAACATGCTGTTTGCAAGCCATTGGATTCATACCATCACCAGTTAATTGGAAAAGCAGTGGCTCATGGCGTATAGACAATGCCATTCAATGTCCTTCCAGACACACGGCTCTCAGTCCTCTTGTCATGAAACTTCTCCAGGAACCGTCCATCCAAGTAAGTCTCCCTCTGTTTCCATTGGAACATGGTCCTTTAGAATGTCCTTAGGTGCAGTTTTGCTGGTGAGAAATTCTGCCAACTTGTGTTTTAATGAACTACGTCTTCATTGCACCTTTTTTCTGGTGGGAGCAGGTATTGAAACCAGAGCCTGGTGCACATTAACTGAGTGCTTCTACCACTCAGCTACATTCCCAGCCCATCTTTTCAAAATTTTATTTCATTCATTCATGCATTTATTGTTTTATGTGATGCTGGGTTTTGAATCCAGGGCCTTCACACTAGGCTATATCACCAGCACTTTTAAAAAAATTTTATTTTTATTTTTATTTTAGAGACAAGGTCTTGCTGTGTTGCCCAGGTTAG